GTGCGCTGCAGGATAAATCTCCGTCGGTTGAGAGAAAACTACCAGGCTGGCCAAGCCAGCATGCGGCTGGCCTGGGGCAGAGAGCGTGGAGCTGGCAGGGTGCCCTGCACCTCCCTGGGCCGCCGGAGGGAACGGAGAACAACAGGATGGGGAGGCTGGTCCTAAACCACAAGCCGAGCAGAGAGAGAAATCGGATCCACCTGGGGCAGGCAAGGGGGCAGGTTTTGGTGGGTCTCTGCCTGCCCGCGGCTAGTATTAACTAGCTAATCCTAACACACAGGCCCAGCTCCAGCCAAGCCCTTTGGCTGTCGCACTCAGAGCCGGAGCCTGTCTCATCCGCACCTGTGTACAGAAAGGGAAGGCCGGCAGAGCCTGCTACCCGGAGTGCAGGACCCTAGCCGGAAGGGAACTGGGCAGAGAGCAAAAGACAGGCCTGTGACGGTGGATTTTTGAGTCCCTCCGTTCTGGGGAGGGTCACACTCAAAGTGCCCTCCCGTTTTTTCCATCCGGCTGCGGAATACATTTTGTTCTGTGCACCGAGGCAGGTGTGGATGTGCACCACCAGCAGGATGTGGATGTGCCCCCAACTAGTGTTTTGTTCCCCTCCCCAGTGGGAGGGCATGCCCGTAGAAGCACATCAGAATGGCCAGACCGGGTCAGACCAAAGGTCCATCTAGCCCGAGATCCTGTCTGCCGACAGTGGCCAGCACCAGGTGCCCCAGAGGGCATGAACAGAACAGGGACCCATCAAGAGATCCCTCTCCTGTTATCCATTTCCAGCCTCTGACAAATAAGCTAGGGACATGTAGCTAGCTCTTTTTGGAACCCTGTTAAAGGTTGTTTTTGGAATCCTGGCCTTCACAACATCCTCTGGCGAGGAGTTCCACAGGTAGACTGTGCGCTGCATGAAGAAAAACTTCCTTTTTTTAAACCTGTGACCTATTAATTTTATTTGGTGACCCCCAGCCATTGTGTTCTGGGTCCCAGCTCCTTATGCACAGCTGTCGGGGTGGAGGTCGGGATCCGGTGGCCAACAAACAACACAGGGAAACAAAAGACAGGAGGTTTTAACCGGAATCCGGCTTGGAGTCTTTGCAGCTTAATAGACCTTGGGGCTAGAAGAATGCGAGCTGCAGAGATCCCAGGGTTAGCTGGGACTGGCATAACCAGCCGGTCTGACCTGTGCATCGCAGAACCTCGCTCGCCCCCAAACAATTCCCATTGGAAACCCAGCAGATCCCGCCAGTCTGGATT